CTATAAGTACTACCTAGAGAGGAGGATGGGCTGAATTATTATTGTGTGTATATTATACCCATCCTTCTGTTTACATATTACTTTTTGTAACTATGTGCACCATCGTACAAACATTAATGTACTAAGCAATTAGATAGTAGAACTTTATATTATTCACTTTACAGAGTCCTAAAAAATGAAGCTAAAAAACAAACTTAAATATTCTTAGGCCTAATATAGTACGCAAATGTACTTACTGTATTAGGCCTCAGACAACGTGCATTAGGCCTAGGATGGTTAAATTAGTTTAGTTTGACTTTGAAACATAAGTAAAAATAGTTTTCTGGTTTTCCAAATAATAAAATACCGATTGCTATTTTCTAATTGCGTTGTACGTCGGTATATGTACAAACTCCTCAGCCTTCATATAAGCACTAACAAAACAGGAGGATAGGCTGTGATATTTTGTACCCCTTGAAATTATTGCAAATAAAATTTTATTATGAATGTAGTGTTGATCTTCAAGTGATAGTTCAAAGTGATTTTGACTAACTATGTGTTTTTTAATTCAGCATATAAGAAAATTTTTATTGTGTATTAATATCTACTAAAAGACGAGCACGTTGAATTAAAAAGTATGAAAGCCTAACATAGAGTTCTTATTATTTAACTGGTTGTGTGTTTAGTTAGTATAAAACTTACTGTACTGTCATCTAAAAGGTAATTGACAATAGGCTGCAGCAGAATTCCCCATGGTAAAAGGTGAAATGAAATGAAGATTATCTTTAAGGTTATCTCAATTGGGTTACAACCAGGCGGTACTGTTGTGTGTAAATTGTTCAAGCCTTATAAACACCTAGAACTGATGTGCTTGATGTAAATCATTCCTCACACTGCCCAACACAAATAAACCACAATAACTTATCCAAGTATGTATTGTTGGTATAGTGGATCATCCAGCGAGATAGTACAGTTAACACGACGATGGTACTAGTATACTTGTGATAAGTGTTGAGTATTAACGTTGAACTTCGTTCGTGTTGAGTATTAACGATGAACTTTTTTAAGAGTGAACAGCAAAGTTATTCACTCTACATCATACTTCACATTTAGGGAGGACCATCCATGAGGGTGAAGATACGCAACACACACATATACACTTTTGAAATCATTTTTGTAGTATCAGGATAGTAAACAGATGAACAAAAAATATTTCAGAACGCTATACACGACCTACGTTAGGCTTGTGTTATAATAAGTAGGCTCAGTGTGGAATTACTATTTGAAAAAGAACAAAATAAAAACTAGAAAAAATGCACAGGTTTGCTACAAGACTAGATCATGAACTTCAGAGGGTTGAGTTACTAGTAAAGCAAGTAATTAATTGTGAATAGCGAATCCATGTTATACTACACCCATCTCACCACGCTGGAAAAAACACAAGAGCCAATAATATTGCAAATAAGCTTCTTAGAGGCATTGAGAAAATGGACAGAATCCAAATGTTTAGCGTGAGCATGGTAGTACGAGACAACATGTGTGGAAACTAGGAGTTGGTAGGAGCCATATAGATATTAGGGCAGCACTTTTCTCATTGTATGAGTAGTCAGTACGCGGAAAGAGCTAAAAACGGGAGGAAGTTGAGGCTATCTCAGAAGGAAGAGTAGCTGGAGCCGTTACAATTGGTAACCGGTGTTTGAAAGGCGGGGCCCAGGAGATGAATCTCGCTCTAAAAGCTCATACAGGTGAGAACACAAAGTACCAGTAATACATAAATGACTAATTATTCGCTATTTTTTGAGCAAATCACTTTGTTAAGGGAACTTTTATTACTGTAAACTACGGTCCGTGAACTGGTGCGGGTCATTAGCACAGTTTTATATCCTGGACCTCCCAAGGTTTACATTCTCACCCGGACGTTCTAAGGTTTATATTCTCACCCGGACGTTCTAATGTTTACATTCTCACCCGTAAGATACGAATGTTCGGGTATTCGACTCGAACTGAACAGTGTTTTATCAACTTACTTTAAGGAAGTAGTTAGACCACCGCATGCACGACGCACCAGCTTATCCAGATGCTCGGCCATTTTACAGAGCCATTGACAGCTGCAGCCGTTGAGGCTATCGCGAACACTGCTTGTAAGTACATATTACATACAGTCTTTTCGGCTAGTCCTCGGAATCACAGGGTTTTCCCAGAATACCATTCTACACCGGGTCAAAAGTCTTCTTGAGATCAATATACTGTGCGGAAGACTTCGTGCTAACTGACAGAGGCGCTCTACAAGGGCGCCAAGTGGAAGGGTTCAGTCAACTGTCGATTTCTGTGTTAGTATCCAGACAGCTCACGTCGGGGAGTAGAAATTAGATAAGTCTCAAATCAATACCATGATATGATGACCAATGGCTTTACTCGGTTCATTAAGCGGTATAATGATCTAGTCATTGATGCATTATCTGGGTTATCTCCTTGTCGACAGGGGGATAACAAGCTCTTTTAATTAAAGTCTGCAGGATAGGCATATATTTTCCAAATAATCGCCACAGCTACAAGGAAAAGCTGCATCATGGCAATACCTTCACGTTTTTCCTAGTCCTCTCAAATGTCATAATTTTCAGTATAACTTCTGTCCGTCAACTTGGTCAGAAGAGGATGACCCAAGAGGATGCAACATCCTCTTCATCACCCAAGAGGATGCAACATCAGCAATTAATAGTAGACTAATGGAAGACCTGCCTTACCATGCTTTACTGTCATCATGCTTTACTTCGCCATAATGGTTGAGGCGCGGGTTATAATCTCTCTCCAGCAAATCTCAGCCTGGTAGTTTCCGTTCTAGTTCCGGTGCCAATACAAGGTAAAGTAGACTATTTCTGGCCGTTACATTAGTGCGGGAGTACACTGGTGGGGAGCGTGAAGCAGAGACCGCAGAGGTAGAGGGGATGTCTCTGCAAAGTGACAACAAGGAAGCAGTACAGACGGAAACTTACAGTTATGAGGCTGCCACCGTTATGTTATCGAGATATAATAATATTAATTTGCTTCCATTACAGTACTGGGAAGATAACACTGTTACCTACGAGTCAGAGGTTTATATTAAGTCAATTCTTTGGCAATAATCACACGGATATATAGGTTGAAGAGGAGCCAATAAAATGTGAAACAGTAGGAAGAAAATAATATAAGATCTAACGAAACATCTTGCTAGTCATCAAGTACTAGGTGGCCTAGTCAGGTATACTGCCCACATCTGTGTACCTTAAAGTAATGTGTCAAACGTTTGTTGAATGTGAATGTGGGAGAATGTTGAGTTAGAGAGTCAGGTGAACATGACATACGGTATGACATGAACTACGACGTCACGGCTGTTGAGCAAAACGTGAAGCCTGACCAGCAGTGTATCCGAGTGTTGTGAAGCCCGTGCAGCAGCAGATTGATTGAGATTGATTCTCTCAATCCCAGACAAGAGAGGAATCACAGGAGGACGGGCGTTGGGGGAAGTGACCAGTGTTGGGGGACCAATTCCACTGCCGTAAGATCCTAATAGTAGACCAAGTGGAGTAAGCAAGCGGCCGCTTGGCGACGCCTAGGAGCTGATACTCCCCCTACGTGCACATATAGATGAGTACACAGAGGTATACACCTGAGGCAGTGAGAGTAGCCCCTGCGAGGTCCTGGGTAATGCATGCAGCGTGTTGTTCAAGCGAGTGTCAGGTGGGCGGTGAAACCTGACGAAGGAGGCGCTTGTGTGTGGTAGTAGCCTAGCGTGTCCGACATGCTGGTAATAATTATTCCAACCAATTATTTAGGCAACAAGTTGTGTGTCGTAACAGTCGGTGGGTATTATGTGCGACAAGCGGAACCATGAGAGTTCAGGCCTTACGGTCTCCTGTTGCTGGTTATGGTGGTTGTGATGGTTGTGGTGATGGTGGTGATGGTGGTGATGATGATGGTGGTGGCGATGGTGGTGGTGGTGGTGGTGGTAATGGTGATGGTGGTGGTGGTGGTGGTGGTTGTAATTACATTTTAGCCTTTGCAACGTTCTCTAGCTATTTAAACTGTCATATCTATATCTGAAGATGTGAATAAAGTGTGCAGTCCATTTAATCCTCTAACGATATAAATTAATTCTAATGTCTGGTCCATTTGGGGAACCTAGTTTCCTCCTGAGCCCCTTTGTTCATGTACAAGCTATATTAAACAGTCTGTCATAATTTATCCTGGATACTCCTCTGAGTATTTTGTATGTCATAATAACTTCCTGTTTGTTCTATGTTTCAGCGACGTGATGCTGAATTAATTTCGTGTTCCTCGCACCTTATAATTCGTCCCGGCTGTAGGATTAATCTGGTGTCATACCCCTGAACGTCCTCCAACATTGCTTTTTGATTAAATATAAACACACTTATGTCGTATATTCCAGAATTTGTCTGAGACATTGGTTATACTGAGGACATTGTATAATGTGCATGAATTCCTACAATCTAATATCAATCGTTTATGTAGACAGGTTTTCAAAAATACCAGTTGAGTACATTCACTGACCTCTTAAAAACAGTCCTTGGAAGTCGACCAGCAACGCGGCATAACGAAAGCAAATTCATTCATTCATTCATTCATTCACACACACACACACACACACACACACACACACACACACACACACACACACACACACACACACACACACACACACACACACACTCTCTCTCTCTCTCTCTCTCTCTCTCTCTCTCCACACGACACACACACAGACCAAAAAGACAAACGTTTACTGCCTCTTATCATCGCGCGGAGGAAGTATAAAAATGAACCCGACAAGAGTGTCGTGCGTGAGGAGGGAAGAGGAGGGACGCAGCCTCTGAGGACGACGTGGTCACGGCCAGACCCCCTCCCCTCCCCCCTCCCGCCGCCACCATCACCTTTCCACCATTTTTTTTTTATATAAGATACATTACCCTCTAGAGGAGGGAAGGAGGAGCTGATGATACAATAAAAAACAGGATGCAACCTACAGTATGCAGTGTGGTGGAGGCTACAGTATGCAGTGTGGTGGAGGCTACAGTATGCAGTGTGGTGGAGGCTACAGTATGCAGTGTGGTGGAGGCTACAGTATGCAGTGTGGTGGAGGCTACAGTATGCAGTGTGGAGGAGGCTACAGTATGCAGTGTGGTGGAGGCTACAGTATGCAGTGTGGTGGAGGCTACAGTATGCAGTGTGAGGGAGGCTACAGTATGCAGTGTGAGGGAGGCTACAGTATGCAGTGTGAGGGAGGCTACAGTATGCAGTCAATCAGCACGCAACAATTTACAGTGTGGGGAACAGACTACAGTCTGCAATCTACAGTGGCAAGTCCAGCTACATTAAACGATATTTAGTGCAATAAGAAGTATTGTCAAGCAGCTTATAGACTACAGTATAAGCTGCCTGCAACCCTAGATGGCCTGCTGACGCCAGGATGCCCACTCGCTTAAGTCAGCACGAACGTCAGAACGTAAACAACACAGTGGTCAGCGCAGTTACCTCAATAGCAATGGTCTCGTGTTCGATTCCAAGTTAGGGTGAGACGTTTGGGCAAGTTTCCATGCATTTGATGCCTCTTTGCACCTAGCAGTATAACTATATACCGGGGAGTTAGGCGACTGTTGTGGGTGGTAACCCCTGGGAAAGGTGCGCGTTGGCACGAGGCGGGGGGGGGGGAGGAGATCTTTATAAGCTTAATATGTTTTCTGTCCTTGACAATGAGAGACTATAACTTGACAAAACAATGGTTGGGGTAATGGTGGTGACTGTGGGGGTGGTGGTAGTTGTGGTGGTGAATTGTTGTAGTGTGGTGGGCGCGGGTGGAGGGCGTGGTAGTGTGGTGGGTGCGGGTGGAGGGCGTGGTAGTATGGTAGGCGCGGGTGGAGGGCGTGGTAGTGTGGTGGGCGCGGGTGGAGGGCGTGGTAGTGTGGTGGGTGCGGGTGGAGGGCGTGGTAGTATGGTAGGCGCGGGTGGAGGGCGTGGTAGTGTGGTAGACGCGGGTGGAGGCCGTGGTAGTGTGGTAGACGCGGGTGGAGGGCGTGGTAGTGTGGTGGGCGCGGGTGGAGGGCGTGGTAGTGTGGTGGGTGCGGGTGGAGGGCGTGGTAGTATGGTAGGCGCGGGTGGAGGGCGTGGTAGTGTGGTAGACGCGGGTGGAGGGCGTGGTAGTGTGGTAGACGCGGGTGGAGGGCGTGGTAGTGTGGTGGGTGCGGGTGGAGGGCGTGGTAGTGTGGTAGACGCGGGTGGAGGGCGTGGTAGTGTGGTGGGTGCGGGTGGAGGGCGTGGTAGTGTGGTAGACGCGGGTGGAGGGCGTGGTAGTGTGGTAGACGCGGGTGGAGGGCGTGGTAGAGTGGTGGGTGCGGGTGGAGGGCGTGGTAGTGTGGTGGGTGCGGGTGGAGGGCGTGGTAGTGTGGTGGGTGCGGGTAGAGGGCGTGGTAGTGTGGTGGGCGCGGGTGGAGGGCGTGGTAGTGTGGTGGGCGCGGGTGGAGGGCGTGGTAGAGTGGTGGGTGCGGGTGGAGGGCGTGGTAGTGTGGTGGGTGCGGGTGGAGGGCGTGGTAGTGTGGTGGGTGCGGGTGGAGGGCGTGGTAGTGTGGTGGGTGCGGGTGGAGGGCGTGGTAGTGTGGTGGGTGCGGGTGGAGGGCGTGGTAGTGTGGTAGGCGCGGGTGGAGGGAGTCTGGAGCCAGACACTGGCGCCACACTGGCCCTGCCCCCAGTGATGAAGACCGCTGGCGAGCAACAAGCAGCCTCACCATTATCTTAACATTTCGGGGAAATATTACAAACTTATTCGATGGTTTTTACGATTTAAAATCTCTTCTCTATGATAAAGGACTAGTCAGCTGCTCGCAAGTATTTTAAAACATTGGATCCAAAGTCAGGTGAGTTTTGTTGATTTTTTTAAGGCATCGTACAGAATATTTTCTTCCTCGCCAGACGACTGTGTGAAACTTTGCATCAAACTTTAAATTTTAATATAAATTCTTTAGAGCAGCGTGAAACTGTATGCTTTTGGCAACGTCAGATGGAAGCACCAGGCAGCGAAAATGTAAAAATTCCCTTCAAGGAAATACGTAAAAATAACATATGTTATTAAACTACAGTAATGTATAGAAGCCTCGACAGTGATAACACGCTCTATTGAACAACAACTCTTGTGATCCAAGAGAGCACAGAGCAAGGAGGTGCTGGTGTGTGTTAGTACCATTGACCGGTAGTCCTGAATGTCAACTCTCATACGTATATACACTAACATTTATGATGCCATGATTATGGTGTCAACATCTCGGCCCAGACTCGAGACGATAGCCTCAGTAGTTAGGGGAAGATCTACAATATTCCCTCGTCCTATAAGCGATCGTATTGGCACTAAATTCGGGGAATTTTCTCTTAAACAATTAACATACTATCTTACCTCGTTTTTCATAAATTATTTAATTCTAAACACATTGTGTGGTGAAATTTGACTCAAAATTAAACCTGAATATCACCCAGTAACTTCGAAAATTTACTATTAAATCTAAATATATTTTCACGGTGATTTCAGATTATACTGTGCATTAATAGTTTTTTTCCAAAAAGTAATTATCTTGAAGGAAAATTCAAGAAATGAAGTGTTTAAGTGCACACAGGAACTTCTGCCTCCGTCCACAACAGCCGCCGTCCACAACAGTCTCCGTCCACAACAGCTTCGTGTATTACAACATTTTACGAGTAAATAAATCAGCCGCCATTTAATTTGTTTTCAAAATTAGCTAAACATTTCAAGGTATTACATATCGTACAAAATATTTTATTCATGAATTCAAATGATGATGTAATTAAATAAGTAACATTTTCAAATGTTTCAGGTCAGGAAGCTTCTTAACTCAGTCCCTCTTCCTCTCTTCTTGTTTTCGAGCCAAGTTAACAATAACAGAAGTTTACGTAGATTCAATGATCTAATCGTTTCGGTCATAGTCAATAAATAATATATATTCGTGAAAAATCCCGAGGAAAATTTATATATGTAAACAACAGTTTAAGAACTACTGAATCTAAGATAAAAACGAAACGTGGACCGGAATACAGCGTGGAAAAAGAAAGTTACCATTATGAGGGAAAATATCCCCCCCTAGAAAACTTTCAAGATATATCAGGATTTTGGTAGCGCCTGCTCCAGCAAGTGGGGGGGGGGGGGGGGGGGGTGTTAACCTTGAACTTCTGGCCTGATTGTGTGTCTTTGTGAATACTCCGCCAGTCTACGTGCCGCGACACGAACACAAATTGTTTAGACTACGGTCTACAACACTGGCAGAGTTGTTGTTATGGTTATGTTGGTAATTGAAGTTATAACATCACTATAGTGGGTATCCACCTGTACCCGGGTCTCACTCTCTCTCTGGGCCTGTACCTGGGTCTCACTCTCTGCCTTCCCCACCTCTTCCCTCCTCTCCCTTCTCTTCTCTCGCAGTTTCTCCCTCTCTTATATCTCTTTCCCTATCCCTCCCTCTGCTCCCTTCATCTTTCTCCCCAACATTCCCCTTTCCGCCACCTCTCCCCACTCTCTCACCGCACACCTTCCACTCTCTCTCTTCACCTTTCTTCCCATCTCTCCTAACCTCTCTTCAAACACACTCCCCTCTTGCCCCTTCTCTTCAAACCTCCTCTTCCCCAACCTTCACCCTTCTCTTTCCCATTCTGCCCCTCCCCCTTCCCCTCCTTCCTCCTCTCTCTCCCTTAGAAAAAATATAAGAACTTAAATTGCTAAATATGTCTCTGAACAACAAAACAATATTTCAGGCATGACTTCATGGAAACTGAACGGGGATGGTGGGTGGGGGAGGGGGGGGGGTAGAGCCCATATATTTCTCAAAGTGTGGCACTAGAGCCAACACCGACTTACCTATGACACTCCCATACCCTACATGCCTCATGTGTAAAGTTGCGTGGGGCTGGCCCCAAGCATCTGGCCTCCAGCCTTGGACAGGCAAAAAGACAGACATTTCTCATATACACAGAGAATTCAGTAACGCTAAAAATAAACTTTCTCCCACTCTCTCTTATTTTATATATATATATATATATATATATATATATATATATATATATATATATATATATATATATATATATATATATGTCGTACCTAGTAGCCAGAACGCACTTGTCAGCCTACTACGATTTACCTAATAAGCCAAGTTTTCATGAATTAATTATTTTTCGACTACCTAACCTACCTAACCTAACCTAACTTTTTCGGCTACCTAACCTAACCTAACCTATAAATATAGGTTAGGTTAGGTTAGGTAGGGTTGGTTAGGTTCGGTCATGTATCTACGTTAATTTTAACTCCAATAAAAAAAATCGACCTCATACATAATGAAATGAGTAGCTTTATCATTTCATAAGAAAAAAATTAAAGAAAATATATTACTTCAGGAAAACTTGGCTTATTAGGCAAATCGGGCCTTGCATAGTAGGCTGACAAGTGCGTTCTGGCTACTAGGTGCGACACATTATATATATATATATATATGTCGTACCTAGTAGCCAGAACTCACTTTTTGGCCTACTATTCAAGGCCCGATTTGCCTAATAAGCCAAGTTTTCATGAATTAATGCTTTTTCGACTACCTAACCTACCTAACCTAACCTAACCTAACTTTTCCGGCTACCTAACCTAACCTATAAAGATAGGTTAGGTTAGGTTAGGTAGGGTTGGTTAGGTTCGGTCATATATCTGCGTTAATTTTAACTCCAATAAAAAAAATTGACCTCATACATAATGAAATGGGTAGCTTTATCATTTCATAAGAAAAAAATTAGAAAAAATATATTAATTCAGGAAAACTTGGCTTATTAGGCAAATCGGGCCTTGAATAGTAGGCCAAAAAGTGAGTTCTGGCTACTAGGTACGACATATATATATATATATATATATATATATATATATATATATATATATATATATATATATATATATATTTACTTATTTATTTATGAGAGAAAATAACTTTCCATCGGACAAAACTAAAACACAACAATTTTTTTTTTTTTATTAACATATTAGGTACATCTGCATTAGTGCAGCTACCCTAGACTATATGAAGTGGAGTACAGTGTGTCAAAAAAAACTAACTAGGTGATGCTATAAAATCCCCATCACACAGGATGGTTAGTCATACAGAGACATGTGATAGGCGGTCTGCACTGGCAGACTCCGGATGCATTTTGAGGATATCAACAACACAAGATTGAATAAGGTAGCAGTGGTAATACAAGTCCCCATCTCGCAGGATGGTTAGTCATACAGAGTCATGTGTTTAATAGCCTGCACTGGCAAATTTTGGGTATACTGTGAGGATATCTTCAAGAATAC